AATTTAAAAATGTGCAGAAGATCCAGACAGGCACTATGACAAAGAAGATACACAGATGGCAAATAAACCTATGAGAAGGTGCTCAGCGTCATACGTCATCTGGGAATTGCACATTAAAACAATGAGATGTCATTGCACACCCATTAGAATGACTAAAATCCAAATTACTGACAATATCAGATGCTGGAGGTGGTTGAGGAGCAATGGTAACTCTCATTCATTGCTGGGGAAATGCAATGTGGTACAGCCACTCGGAAGACAGTCTGGCAGTTTCTTACAAAGCTAAACATAGTCTTATCATACCATCCAGCAATTGCACTCCTAGGTTTTTACTTAAATGTCCACACAAAAAATTTCACTTGAATGTTTACAAGCAGTTTTATTCATAATTGCCAAAAACTAGGAGCAACCAAAATGTCTTTCAGTAGTGAATGGATAAACAAACGGCGGTAATACGTTCATACAATGGAGTTATTATTCAGCAATAAAAAGAAATGAGCCATCAAGACACTGGAAAACACAGAGGAACCTTAAATACATACTGCTAAGTAAAAGAAGCTATTCTAAAAGGTTACATATTGATTTCAACCATATGACATTCTGGAAAGGGCAAAACTATAGAGACAGTAAAAAGATTAGTGGTCTCAGGGATTCACAGGGAAGGAAGGAGGGATGAATGGGTAGAACATGGGATTTTTAGGACAGTGAAACTATTTTATATGATACGTCATCACAGGTGCTGAAATTATGCATCTGTCAAAACCCATGGAACTGTACAATACAACATGTGAACTCTAATGTAAACCATGTACTTTAGTTAATAATAATGTATGGAGGCCGGGCGCAGTGGCTCACGCCTGTAATCCTAGCACTCTAGGAGGCCGAGGAGGGTGGATCGCTCAAGGTCAGGAGTTCGAAATCAGACTGAGCAAGAGCGAGAACCCGTCTCTACTATAAATAGAAAGAAATAATTGGCCAACTAATATATATGGAAAAAATTAGCTGGGCATGGTGGCACATACCTGTAGTCCCAGCTACTCGGAGGCTGAGGCAGGAGGATTGCTTGAGCCCAGGAGTTTGAGGTTGCTGTGAGCTAGGCTGATGCCACAGCACTCACTCTAGCCTGGGCAACAAAGTGAGACTCTGTCTCAAATAATAATAAAAACAATAATAATAATAATAATGCATTGATATTGAGTCACCAGTTGTAACAAATGTATCACAGTAATGCAATATGTTAATTGCAGGGGAAACTGTTTTGAGGGGAAAGTGGGTGGATGAAAACTCTCTGCATTATCTGCTCTATTTACCTGTAAACCTAAAATTGCTTTTAAAAATAATCCCTTTAAAAAAATGAGACAGAGTTTAAAAAGATAGGGCCCAGCCATTTAGTGGCAATGTCTTTACAGGACTGTCTATGGGCCATGACGTCATCCCCCCAGACTGCCCTAGTTTCTGCCCATTCCCAAGCATGGTTCACCGGGCACCCATCGAGTTCATGTGCCATGGATATCCCACCAACAAATTCCTTTTGACTTTCTTTCTAAGGCACTTGATAAAGTTAAATATCTCTATCTTAAGACTCAGTAAAGTAGGAGTAGAAGGAATTTGGTGAAATTGGTGAAAGCACCTACCAAACACCCCCAGAAACACTATGGTTAATGGAGAAATTCTACATATGGGCTCTTTAAGACTGATAAATAGGACACCACTATCTCTGCTGTCATTTAACATAGTATTAGAAACCATAGATAGGCAAGGCTATAGGACAAATAAAAAAGAAATAAGTATACAGTTCAGAAGGGAAGACATAACATTATCATTATATGGAGATAATATAATCATATTCCAAGAAAACTCTATAAAATCAACAAATTATTAGTGCTCATAAGAGAGTTCAATAAGGTCACCACATATAAGGTCAATATACAAAAATGTAATAGCATTTCTCTACATCTGTAATAGCCAACTTTTTTTTTCTTTTCTTTTCTTTTTTTTTTTTTTTTTTGAGACAAAGTCTCACTCGGTTGCCCAGGCTAGAGTGCCGTGGCATCAGCCTAGCTCACAGCAACCTCAAACTCCTGGCCTCAAGCAATCCTTCTGCCTTAGCCTCCCAAGTAGCTGGGACTACAGGCATGTGCCACCATGCCTGGAAAATTTTTTCTATGTATTTTAGTTGCCAATTAATTCTTTCTATTTTTAGTAGAGATGGGGTGTCACTCTTGCTCAGGCTGGTTTCGAACTCCTGACCTTGAGTGATCCACCCACCTTGACCTCCCAGAGTGCTAGGATTACAGGCATGAGCCACCGCACCCAGCCTGCAATAACCAATTTGACGGTAAAATTAAAAATAAGAGGCCAGGTGCAGTGGCTCATGCTTGTAATCCTAGCATTCTGGGAGGCCGAGGCGGGCGGATTGCTCGAGGTCAGGAGTTTGAAACCAGTGTGAGCAAGAGCAAGACCCTGTGTCTACTATAAACAGAAAGAAATGAATTGGCCAACTAAAAATATATAGAAATAATTAGCCGGCATGGTGGCGCATGCCTGAAGTCCCAGCTTCTCGGGAGGCTGAGGCAGCAGGATTGCTTGAGCCCAGGAGTTTGAGGTTGCTGTGAGCTAGGCTAATGCCACGACACTCACTCTAGCCTGGGCAACAAAGCAAGACTCTGTCTCAAAAAATAAATAATAAATAAATAAATAAGATATCAGAGGTGGGGGCAGCAGGGGCCAGAGCTCAAGTTGGTTGAGGAGGGCATCCGAGGGGTCCACTGTGTGGAGTCCAAGCCAGAGCATGGTGAGGAGAGCAGCTTAGCATGAGCCGCTGCAGCCCAAGTGGCCTAAGGATGGCATCCCTGTGGCAGGGTGGGAGGAGTGACCCAGAATGGGTGACAGGGCCTGAACAGGCTAAGAAAGGCTTCCACATAGGGGGAATGGCCAGTTGTGAGGTGTTGAAGCCTGAAGGGGGTAAAGAAGGCATTTATGCAGGAGTTGGGGCTCGGTGGTGTAACATACGTGTAATGGAAGTACCAGAAGAAGAAGAGACAGAAGCAGAAACAAAAAAAGTTTTGAAGAAATAATGCCAGTATATTTTCAAAATTTGATGAAAACTGTAAACCTACAGATATGAGAGGCTCAGTGAACTTCAAGGAGAAGAAACATAAAGAAGAACGATGCCAAAGAAGACCATATTCGAATTGCTGAAAACCGGTGGTAAAGAGAAAATCCTAAAAGCAGCCAGAGGGGAAAAATAATGACACATTATATTCATGGGAAACAAGGTAAGAGCAACTGCTGGCTTCTTGTCAGAAACCATGCAGGTCCAAGATAATGCAATGACATTTTTAAAGAGCTAAAAGTAGTAAATAAATCAATAAAACTCTCAAAAATGAAAGTGAAATAACAATTTTTTTATTGTATTTAAATGGGAGGAGACAGCTTAGATGTGTGCCTACAAGATGGCTATCATTGTTGCTGTCCATGGCAAAGATGTTACAATGTTGACCTGCTGTTAATGCATAATATTTCATTTTTAATTTTTTTTATTTTTTACTTCTCCCAGATGTCCCTTCAAGGACGTTAACTCATATTCTTAAAAGGTGAGATGAAAAGAATGTCCTTCTCTAATTTGGAAATACATTAAGGAGGAGAATGGAGAAAGGGATTGCAGTAATATAGACATTTATTTGCCGTTTCTCCAAAACTGTTTGATCATCTACAGAGAGGCCATAAGAACCGACTGCATCAGAGTTTTTTCATCATGTGTAGGTTATGACAAAAATTCATACAGTAAAATAAAATGACTCATATTTTGGAAATAAGACTGTTTCAAGCTAAAAAAAAAAAAAAGTCACCAGAAAAACAGAAAAATTAAAGAGGATTTCCTTAATTTCTTTACCAAAACTGTAAGTTATTTGGAGTGCAACTTTGATTTCACAAGTTCAAATTCCTCTGAATTTCAAAAGCATTTTCCTTAAGAAAGAAGAGTTGAATTTCTGATAACATCCAATGTACTTCCAAATATTTTTAAATAAAGGACATTTTAGACGTGGATAGTCCATACGATGGATTTATAGGTGAAAAGGGCCTGATTGATAAACAGCTGGTTCACCAAAACAAACCTGTTGATACAAAGTAGACAGACATTTTTGAAGAGCTATAAACTAATTTCTTCAAGCCTAAAAACCTGCCGCTGCTGGTTAGTAAAATCTTAAGTATTTCATGCTGAAAGGTCTTTGTTGTGAAGATATTTAATCTGAAGTTGTCACATTGGACTGACAAGAGGCAGCAGTAGACTGTGGGCTTGATGACACAGAGCTGCAGGACAAAGCAGATTTCACATTTCACCGTCTGCAGTTTTGTCACCGCCTAAAAGAAAATAAGGTCACATCCTAAAGGCTGCAGGCAGTTCTGAGAAGTGTTATTGGAATAGAAAACAAGAAAAGTCAGATGATCGTACTACATGGGACAGAAAGCAACATATCATGGTTGTTTCATAAAAATTAAATAGAGCTAATATCTGCTTAATTTGTCCTATTACATTTATATTTTCCTTTTAAAAAGTCAGGGCCAGGCGTGGTGGCACACGCCTGTAATCCTAGCACTCTGGGAGGCTGAGGCAGGTGGATTGCTCGAGGTCAGGAGTTTGAAACCAGCCTGAGTGAGATCCCGTCTCTACTAAAAATAGAAAGAAATTAATTGACCAACTAAAAATATATATACAAAAAGTTAGCCGGGCATGGTGGCGCATGCCTGTAGTCCCAGCTACTCGGGAAGCTGAGGCAGGAGGATTGCTTGAGCCCAGGAGTTTGAGGTTGCTGTGAGCTAGGCTGACGCCACAGCACTCACTCTAGCCTGGGCAACAAAGTGAGACTCTGTCTCAAAAAAAAAAAAAAGTCTTACATGTACGTATCTTAAAAAGACACAATAATATAATCTATAGAATTTAAATATACAATAAAGAGTTTTAAAAAGAGTTAAATTGTTATATCAGAGGACAAAAAGAGACATTATAAAAATAGTGGGGTTTTTCATATTTGTTTCATTGGCCGTACTATTAATTAGTACTAATTGCTTCTTTTAACTAGTCCTATTGTCAGTTTGTTTAAATAGCAGCATTTATGAACCAGAAAAGTAAACAACAGAGACAAATATATAACTTCAAATAGACATCTATTTTCATATTTTTACATTACAATAACAAAGTGTGTATGTGTACATGACCTATGATGCTATTACTATTATGCCTTTTGGTTTCCGTCTGGTGTGGCCGTGTCCCAGACTGGCTCTCTGAAAAGACAGTCACCAGAAGATGAGGGGACTTGCTGCTCTGCAAGCCAGGGCTAGGGCAGAGCTCACTTGGCAAAGCTCCAGTGATGTCACCAGGGCCACGCTGGCTCTCTGTCTGCTGTCCTTGGTCCCCCCTTCCAGCTGTGCTTACATGATCCTCACCCAGCGGTCCTGGTGATGAAACCAAGTCCTGGCCCCGTCCTGGGCTTGAGTCTCACTGGGTGCCTTTGGGTCATGCCTTGGTGTCTGCAAAGGGAGTGGCCAGGCCTGGATCACGTGCTGGCCCCAGCAAGGGAGGGGGCTAGAGGGAGCAGAGAAGCGGTTCCCTGAAGGGAAGCGAGGGGCCTTTACCAGAAGAGGGACGAGAAGCCTAAGCCTCGCAGGCAGAAGCGTCCCCAGCCGTCCCTTTGGCGGGGAGCCAAAGTGCTTTCCGCTAAATCGTTTTTTTGGCCAAATCCCTGGAGCCACACAAACATGCATCCGTTTTATCACTTACCGTATTGCACTGAAATGATGCAGCGATGCGTGTCTCTTGCTGACTGGACAGTGAGCGCTCAAGGACAGGGACCGCATCCACTCCTGTAGGCTTCAGATCTGTAGCTCGGGCACAGATCCTGCTCTGAGTCCGGAGCTGTGTGTGTCCTGCTAACTTTCAGACACTCTAACTCGGATGTCCCACAGGCGGCTCAGACTCCACACGCAGGAAACTGAACTTGCTGTCTTTATTCTAAACCTCCACCGCGCCCTTTCCCAGGATGGCTCTGTTGTTTCTTTTTTTTTTTTTTTTTTTTGAGACAGAGTCTCACTTTGTTGCCCAGGCTGGAGTGAGTGCCGTGGCGTCAGCCTAGCTCACAGCAACCTCAATCTCCGGGGCTCAGCAATCCTACTGCCTCAGCCTCCCGAGTAGCTGGGACTACAGGCATGCGCCACCATGCCCGGCTAATTTTTTGTATATATATTTTTAGTTGGTCAATTAATTTATTTCTATTTTTGGTAGAGACGGGGTCTTGCTCAGGCTGGTTTCGAACTCCTGACCTTGAGCAATCCGCCTGCCTCGGCCTCCCAAAGTGCTAGGATTACAGGCGTGAGCCACCACGTCCAGCTGGCTCTGTTGTTTCTGCGGTTGACTCTGCTCTCATCTGCCACAGGTGTTACTGATGCTGCCACGTACCTCTCAGGTTCCCCCATCCTACTTCCCTCCCCAGCCCCAGCCTCTCCCCTGCCTACGCACAGGCATCCTGTCCCAGCCGCTCCCTGTAGCAGGGATGCTTCTCAGATGCAAGGCTGGCGATGGCGGGCCCAGCTTCAAGCCCCGTGACCTTTCCGCTGAAGCCCAAACCAGCAGCACTCAGCCCCATGGCCTCTGGCCCCGAGGCTCTGCCTGGGCTCCAGCCCTGCCTCTGGGAGCTCCCACTCTCCCCTGCTGTCGAGCACCTTGCATTCATTCTTTCATCTTCTCCGTGGTGCATTAGACTGAGTGCCCGCCATCACACTTGACAGTACTTTGACTTACTGTGATAAATCCTTCGTGGTTAGACAGATGGCCTCTACTTACCAGTCTCTCCCTCTGGGCTGCAGACGCCAAGAGGGCAGGAATGACGTCCCATATCGCTATGACTCCAGCCAGAGTTTATCTCGAGGTTGGCACCTAGTAGGTGCTGTCGATTGATAAGTGAGTGGCTCAGCGGGCCAGCCACGGCAGAGGTCGGGACACTTGGTAAAGGGCCAGACAGAAAAGATTTTAGACTTGGCAGGCCATGCGATCTCTGAACAATGAGAAAGCAACCATGGACAGTGCATAAATAAAATTTTATTTACAAAAGCGAAGGCAGGCTGGATTTAGCTTGTGGAATGTAGTTTGCTGACCCCTGAGCTACAGGAATGAATTTCCCCTAGAATTTGGGGACAACCTCCACCCCTGCATCCCTCCCCAGTGAGACCTGTTCCTGCCTTCTGTCCCCTCCTCAGCCCAGCCCCATGGCCGCTTTTCCCACCCTCCAATCTTTCTCCCCTGCCCCCACCCCACTTCCAGGACACTCTGCTCATCTTGTCACCCTTTTGAGGCTCACAGAGCCTTGTGGACCAGAATTCAGCCCCCTTCTTTCCCTGGAGTTCCTCCAGTCTGGCCTGGTCTCCCCATTGGCCCCACGTAGACATGATGGCCAGCCCTGTGGACAGCATGGCAGGAAGATGTTTACTATGGCTAGTACTTCCTTAGCTGGATGCAAGCACTTTACAGTTTGCAAGCACTTTCATCCGCATTATTTCCCTCTTTGCTCAGCCCCTGCCTCACGTGCCTCTCGCTGGGCTGAGGCTTTTCCTCTGGGGGCCCAGCCCTCCTGGTCCCTGCCCTGGCTCATGCACGGGTGTCCATCAGCTGCCTTGGTCCCCAGGGAGATGGGCACCTCAGAAGGCTAGGCACGGTGATGCTTAACTCTATGTGTCACCTGGACTGGGCCACTGTCCCCAGACAGAGCAGGGGAGAAAGAGCCATGTGGGGACAGGTTTGTGCCGATTCATAGGCTTCCCCTTTGAGGACTCGGGGAGTCCCACTGCCCCAGATGAAAGTGGGGTCCTGTCACTAAAGGGGAGGGGGCGAGTGGATGCCTGGGGTAGGCAGCCAGTGATTGCATCACACCTGGGATGCTCCCTTACAGGGACAGAAAGCAAGGGGACACCTGAAAGCCATCACATGCTCAGTAGCTGGCCCTGGGGGGTGAAGAGAAGGGCAAGGGGAAGGGGGCAGCTCTGAAAGAGAGGGCCATGGGAAGGAGGGAGGAGACGCTGTGGATGCCAGCCAGGCATGGGGAGGCAGAGCCACCCCCAGTTATGCAGATGAGGACACTGAGGCCCAGAGAGGGCTGTCAACCTCTCCAAACTCACACAGCAATGTCTTCTGTCTCCAGGCCCTGGCATTTTCCCTGTATTGGAGCAGCTGAGCTCGCTGCCCACTCTGGTGGACCCTCACTGCCGTCCTGCTCTGTGGGGTGGTGGCCGAGTGTGGCCTGGCTCCAGGGGCACACTGCTGCCTGGAGTCCCCTCTGAGGAGAAAGCGGGCCAAGTGTCCTCACATGAACCAAGAGACAGGAGTGAACGACCTATCCCAAGATGAACCAATCGGCAACATATTTAGAAGTCGGGGAAGAGACAGGGAGGGACAGGCGGAATTCCTGCCTGGGCAGGGCCTGACCCTTCTCGGGCTGCCCTCCCTGCGTGGGCGGGGGAAGGGGAGCCCTCTCTCACCCTTTGCTCTGGGGACAGGAGGATTAGGACAAAAACAAGGTCAGAGCACAGGTTGGATTTTCAGGAGCGCAAAGGTGAGGGAGGAATCTCTTTCCTTGGAGGTTTTGAAAAATAACGGAAAGTTGCCTGAGTGTGCTGGAAAATCAGGTGGCAGGAGGGGGAACAGGTGACCCGGACCAGCCTGCGCGGTTACGGCCCAGGGCTCCGCTGTGGGGAAGCTGCAGTTAGCGCAGCGGCCACCAGGTGGCAGGCCCGCCCATTTCTAAAGGCCTGGCCGCCCGGAACTCGGGTAACCGGTTGGCTGATGGATTTGCTTATTCACCCATCATTTATTTATTCACTTGTCATTCATTCATGGTTTTTATTCCCCAAGCACTTTTGACTCCTGTGTGCCAGCAGGATTGTGCTAGGTGTGAGGAGGAACCAACGGGGCCAAGACGAGGTGGCTGCTCGGGCACCCCGCACAGCCCCTCTGCGCCCGGCAGCCCTGCAGCAATGGCAGACGGGCGAGGACGAGGACGGCAGGGCCTGCTGCCTGGATCGGGGCCCACCGCAGCCGCGTGGGCTGGCGCCCCTTGCCCTCCGTTCTGCAGCAGGAGCCAACGGGCAGTGGGCCCTGAGAGAGGTTTGGATCGCCTCCCACCCTGGTCTCAGTCGCCCGCAGCGGGTCTCAGGTGCAGCCGCATAGTGGCCGCTGCGGCTGAGGTTTTCTCTCTCTCTTCTTCCTCCAGTCAGGCCCAACCTCAAACCGCGAGTCCTCCCCTCTGCCCCCCTTCCTGCCTTCCCTCTGCTCTGTTCTGGCAGCTTTGCTCAGCAGTGTCCATCCTCCTGAGAGCAGAAAGGGGGTCCCTGGAGCAAGCCTGGGTCGCAGGGGCCTGGGGGGCACTGGACCCTCTGCCTTCCTCCAGCCTTGCTCCTGCCCCCTCCTCCTCCTGGCTCCCAGGCCAGCAGTCGCGCTAGGCCACTGGCCTCCCATGCGCTGGCAAACAGGAACCTACCGTGAGGGGTGGAGGGGCGGAGTGGACACCAAGGACACAGCTGAGCGTGCCACGTGCCTGGTAACTGTCCAGAATCGAATCGATGGACCCCGGACCCACCCCTGGGAGGACCATAGGAGCCCCAGTTTGTTCCATGAAGACTCTAAATGCGGCAGGGCTGGGGTCGCACCCACTGGGGGTCACTCTGACAGGGCCCCAGATGACTTCCTTGGCCAGCAGTCACGGTGCCTGGTCCTCCAGAACAGTGCCAGCCACCACTCTGCGTGGCTTCCCTTCTCCACTGTCCTCCTGCCCAGCTTCCCTGACGACTGGGAACCCCTCCCGGCCCCCAAGCCCCGTGCCTCTGACTCACAGTGGAGCTTAGTTGGAAAGCATCTGGCCATGCCCACAGCCCTGGCATCTGGCCCTGCATGAGGGCACCCCTCCCTCAGACCTTCCACACAGTTCTCCCGCAAGGGTTATGTCCATTGAAATCTTCCCCTCACCAAGAAAGTGGCATAGCACCCCAGCAGTGTGTGTGCGGTGCCAGGTGGAGTGGGAGTCCGCCCAGTCTGATGGGCTCATCACATTCCGCACATTCCCAGTGGGCAGCGTGGGGGAGGGGCTGGCCAGAGGAGGAATGCTGCCTGCCTGACTCCTGCCTGGGTTCCCTCCTCCTCCCCATACTCCCTCCCCAGCTCCCCTCTGTGCGCCTCCAGGCTCTCACACCTTGGACCCTTGGGGGCTGTCTTCCCTTTTGTGTTCCCTTCTCCCTTCCCTCTCTCAGCCCTCTCCTCTCTGTTGTCCCCAGAGTTTGTGGTGACAAGTGGAGAGACCAGGCCAGGGCTCTATGCAGGGCCTTAGTCTCTGCCCCTCTAGGCAGCCGAGAAGAACTCAGGGTTCCGTCTGGCCTGGCTCTGCACCACCTTCCTGTGCGTCTTGGGTCCAGGACTCGCCCTGTCTGGCCATGGGCTCCTCCACTCCTAGTCCTTGGTCGCTAAGGCCCTCCCAGGCCAATGGTCTGTGTCTCACCAAAGCCACCTTCCAAACTGCACAGGACTAGATTTGAGGGCCACCTCCTCCACCTGCCTTCCCACCCCCTAGGTCCCCCTTCCTTTTCTGCTGGAGGAGGGGCCACCTGTCCACCTTCTTCATGGGGCATCTGCGGGCCTGGGGTCCAGTACCTGGACAGAGTCATCCATTCCTGAAACGCTCACATGCTCATCCCTCTGCCCCCGGCCACTTCCCAGCTCCTGACCACAGTGCAGTGGCTGAAGGGGGCTGGGATCCAGGAACCTCGAGTTCTAATTCTGGCTCTGCCACTCACCTGCTGTGTGGCCTGAGCTAGTCACTACCCTGCTCTGAGCTCAGCCTTCCTGGGACGGACGAATTGCCTCATGTTCCAGAGCCAAGGGGAACATCTGGCAACCCTACACCAGACTGGAGTTTGACCAGGTTTTGAAGGAGCACATGAAGGGGAGTCCTGTCCAGGTGTGCGCCCTCTGTAGACA